AATGCTGTTCTTGTTGGTAGGGCGTGCCATTTATTTACACTCAGACTAGTCATACACTGCTGAAGGGAATACAGGAATCCTAGTGAAACCTCATGGCAGTTGTAAAATGGAACACAATTTTATATGTTATTACCATTATGGCAATCCTAAGTGTGATTTCTGGAAGTTCTTCTGTTAGTTGTTTAAGGATAAAGGACGCAAAACACAATACAGGAATAAATCACCTTTAGTCCCAACTGGTTGCTTTAAATGCTTTAGAAAGTACACACAAGGTTCTCCATATTGCACTACTATCATTTTTGCAGTTTTGCAAACAGAGGAAGGCAAAAACTGTGTGCAACCAAAAGCCCAACATGAAGTGGGCCAAATCAACATTTTATACCTTTGTCTTTTAATATTTACTTTGTGCTTCTGCTTGTGGAGAATGGTACGAAGTGGAGGAGAAAACTAACATTCAAACACAGTAATTCAATCTACCTCCTCTCCTGTTTTCCACCACTCGCCTTAGCTTTAATACAAGCAAACATATCTGTATTTTATAAAAATAGAGTGCAGTTGTTCATGCAGAGCATTCATGGGAAGAGGAAGAGAGGGAAGACAATTGCCGTGAACAGCGACCTGGTGCTAGTCTGTACGTGTAAAAGCTTAACTGCTGCCATTGCACGTGTCTCACTTCTGTGTGCATTTGTATACTCCTGCACTCTGAAAGCCATGTTTGCTGCATGATTCTGTAAGCCAAAATGCTATTGTTAAATCACTAGCTGAAGTTATGCCAAAATTGTACCTTGAATTACAGCGTTGATCAAGTTTTAACCCTTTCATTTTTGAATGCAATAATTGACTCCTCCAACAAACATTTTCCTACTTGTGTAAAATGACTTTTTTATTAAAAGAAAGGTTTATTGTGAAGACAAGATCTAGGATGTGTGGTGGGATGACCCTGGCTGGAGGCCAGGTGCCCATCAAACCTGCTCTATCACTGCCCTCCTCAGTTGGACAGGGGAAGAAAAAGATAACGGAAGGCTCGTGGGTTGAGATAAGGACAGGGAGGGATCACTCACCAACTACCATCATGGGCAAAATGGGCTCAACTTGGGGAAATTAGTTTAATTTATTACCAATCAAATCAGAGTAGGATAATGAGAAATAAATCCCAAATCCTCAAATACCTTTTCCTTCACCCTTCCCTTCTTCCCCGGCTCATCTTTGCTCTAGATTTGCTCTCTACCTCCCTCCCCTCCAGCGGTGCAGGGGGACAGGGATGCAGGTTGTGGTCAGTCCATCACATGTTGTCTCTACTGCTCCTTCCTCCTCAGGGGAGGGCACCTCATACCCTTCCCCTGGTCCAGAGTGGGTCCCACCCACGGGGTGCAGTCCTTCAGGAGCAGCCTGCTCCAGCCTGGGTCCCCCATGGGGTCACAGGTCCTGCCAGCAAACCTGCTCCAGTCTGGGCTCCTCTCCCCATGGGGCTAAAGGTCCTTCCCGGAGCCTGCTCCAGTGTGGGCTCCCCTTGGGGCCAGAGCCTCCTTTGGGCATCCCCCTGCTCTAGGGTGGGTCCCTCCCTGGCTGCAGGGGGGTCTCTGCTCCCCTGTGACCCTCCATGGCTGCAGGGCACAGCCAGACTCATCATGGTCTGCACCAAGCGCTGCTAGGGAATCTCTGTTCCAGTGCTTGAAGCCCCTCCTCCCCCTCCTTCTCTACTGACCTGGGTATCTGCAGGACTGTTCTTCTCACATCTCCTTATTCCTCGCTCTGGCTGCTGTTGTTATCTCTCTTTTTTTTTCCTCTCTTCTTAAACACATTATCCCAGAGGTGCTCCCACCATCACTGATGGACTCAGCCTTGGCCAGTGGTTGGTCCGACTTGGAGCCCAGTAGTGTTGGGTCTATCAGACACATGGAAGCTTCCAGCAGCTTCTCACAGAAGCCATCCCTGTAGCCCCGCTCCCCCCCCACCCCCCGGCTCCAAAAACATTGCCATGCAAATCCAATACAGCATGCAAATGTATGTTTTATGTAGCTTTCATTTTCTGAAATATTGGAAGTCTGCATTATAGACCAAATCCAACTTTCCTACTAGTGATCCCAGGGGAAGCAATGAGCCTAGCTAAGAAAGCAGGGGAGATGGATGTGGTGCTGTATTGTTGGAGTGGCTGGTTCTCCGTGTATGTCTCTGTGCGTGAGCATACATTTGGAAGATGGGTGAGGATGGGACTGTATGCGTGGTATGGAAAAGATGGGGTGGGGTTTTAACAATGGGGGAACTTTGTCTGGCATTGGGCCCAAGTTGAAATTAAATCCATCTGAGAGTGTGTTGATTTTCACTTTGTAACTCAATGCAGAATACTTCGGGACTGATGGGGAAAAATAAAGACTGCATGTTGGTTTCTTCGTGTTCATAATGCTTAATTCCACAGCTGTTATGAATACTGAAAGCATCACTGAAAGGCAGGAAAGGAGTGCCCACCTAGAAGATGTGGTAGACCAGATTGGATGTTGCTTCCATTTCAGGAGCTTTTGTGATTGGAAGCTTTCCAGCCTTCCCTGCTACTTATTTATTTTTCCATCATCAAGATTAGCTTTATACATTATAGAACAGGAAGACAACAAGGGCGGGAGAGTAGGGGAGCTGGAACTATGAGGTTTGGAATAATTACCAAATCACAAAAATATTTTTATTGGCAGCTAACATGGTGTTTTTAATTACTGTGTCAGAAACTACGATGGGTGAATTTTAACCAAATATTCATAAGCATGCATATGAACTCCATATAAATGATAGCCATCCGGAGAACATTAGGGTTACACCATATTGCCCTTAGTTAGTCAGGAAATGCTGAAATTAACCCTGCCCCTTGTGCATATGGTATTATATTCCTGCCCTTAATTACACAATCACATACTGTTTCTCAAATAATACAATCTGTTGGTATTTACCCCCTTTACAGTCTAGGATACTCACTGGTAATTGTGGAGGTAAATTCAATAATCAAGAGTTATTTGGCTAGGTACCCCTCCCAAACCCTGTCTGCTTCTCTGCAGGGGAGAGTCCTTCTCCACAAGAGTTTAGAGGGGGCAATACGCTTGAGCCACTTTCTTGCGACTTTTAGAAGCTGGAGGAATTGAGAGGTGCCTCAGAGCTGGACTTCTTCCAGCAAACCTAACCATGTGTGCAGCAGCAACTAATAAACTCTGCAAGGAAGGAGCCAAAGGCTCCTGTGGAGCCCTTAATTCAGCCCATGTGCATCTTCAGAAATCTCTCCATTATGCAGCTAAATTAGCTACACTGGTGTGTGCAAGGCAGCCTCCCTTGGAGGCAACTCTTTGGGTCAGACTGCGGGCACAATGGCTGTGAAGATCCAAGGTGTTTCTGAGGTTTTCCTTAGAAATTTCAGGAAGCCTTTCTGGTGTCAGTAGAAATTGCTTGAGTACTCAAAAATTCTTCACAGGCTGGGTGAAGAATGGATAGAGAGCAGCCCTGTGGAGAAGACCTTGGGGGTATTGGTGGATGAAAAGCTGGACATGAGGTGGCAGTGTGCGCTGGCAGCCCAGAAAGCCAACCGTATCCTGGGCTGTATCCAGAGAAGTGTGGCCAGCAGGTCGAGGGAGGGGATTCTCCTCCTCTACTCTGCTCCTGTGAGACCCCACCTGCAGTGCTGCATCCAGCTGTGGAGCCCTCAACATCAGAAGGATATAGACCAGTTGGAGTGAGTCCAGAGGAGGCCACGAAGATGCTCAGAGGGCTGGAGCACCTCTGCTATGGGGACAGGCTGAGAGAGTTGGGCTTGTTCAGCCTGGAGAAGAGAAGGCTCCAGGGACACCTTATGGCACCTTCCAGTACCTGAAGGGGCCTACAAGGAAGCTGGGGGGGACTTTTTACAAGGGTCTGTAGTGACAGGACAAGGGGTAATGGGTTTAAATTGAAAGTGGGGAGGTTTAGATT